CGCCAAAATGGCCACGGAGTATGCAATCGATCGAATTGAATCGGTGAGTCAATCCCCTGACCGATTCGGTGTTTAGGTGAGATAATAAGTTTTATAGCAAAGTTAAAAGTCAGCAATATATTTCTCATCTTCAAATATATTCGCGAATCAAATATCTTTGCGTATTCCATATATAGGAAATTGCAAAAGCGAAAGAGTGAGATGTCGCTTCTTTTTATCAGCGCGAGCTGAAGCACGGGAGGTAAAAGTATGTGGCACGAGCAACCACGAGTGTGAACCGACTCCGAGTCGGCACGAGCAGAGCACAACGACTGAGAGTCGTAGATGCTTACCTCCCCCCCCCCGGAACAACGATCTCAGGGTATGGGAGGGTGGGACAAAAATTTTCCTTTCGGCTCTCTGAGAGCCGCGATGCTGCACACACACGAATAGATTGTGCAACAAGCAGGAAAATTTTCCAATGGTTGAAACATGAAAACTTGCTCGTTGAAACAACTGTAAACATTTGATTGAAAAATTGCTGACTTAGCGAAAACAAAGAGTTTTCGCAAATTAACTTCAGCTATAAAGCTTTGTCGTACAAGTACGAAAGCTTGCTTATAGCAAAGTTAAAAGTCAGCAATATATTTCTCATCTTCAAATATATTCGCGAATCAAATATCTTTGCGTATTCCATATATAGGAAATTGCAAAAGCGAAAGAGTGAGATGTCGCTTCTTTTTATCAGCGCGAGCTGAAGCACGGGAGGTAAAAGTATGTGGCACGAGCAACCACGAGTGTGAACCGACTCCGAGTCGGCACGAGCAGAGCACAACGACTGAGAGTCGTAGATGCTTACCTCCCATGCACCTCATCTATGACTCGACGTCAGCGAGGAGAGTGCCTGAAACGAAGCATGCAGGACGATCCCTGGAATACGGCTCCAAGTAGGTCATCTCGGACCATTTTGCCCTCGAAGGGGCATCTGCCAAGTTGCTGTGGCTGGGGACTCGCATGAACCACGAGAGACATGGTCCGGGCTCATCGGCAGCCTCAAAGTGTAACAAGAGTTCTCGCCAGTAAGGGTCAGTGGCAGACCCCGAGACGCATGCCCCCAGCACACCAGAATGGTCAATAAAGAAAAGTGTCCTCTTATTTGCAAGGTACTGCGACCATAGCGACCGAGCAAGGACTACAGCGAAAAGCTCTGTTTGCCCAATAAGGTGCCTCTTTTCAGAGGACCATTTGGACACAAGATCATCATTGACCTTACAGCCGAAAGTACGCACCTGTGGGTGTCGGCCCCGCACAATCAAAACTCCCCCGACTGTGGCCAAGTGACCTCCGCCTGCGGTTGGCTCGCATGCGCCGTCAGTGAAGACAAGGACAGGAGGCTCACCCGGGGAAGCCGAAAGAGACCTAGGGGCACCCCTAAGGAGCCTAGCCCTAAGAACCTTAAAAGCTTGCAGCTGGTCATCTCTCAGATCCACGAACTCCGACCTGCTGTGCTCAAGTTTGCGAACGTCCGCGACTGCCAGTCGCCCAGTTCTGCCGAGGATTTGGGCCTCAGCAAACTGGAGTCTGCCAAAGAGAGTCGGCAGAGTTCTGACCTCAACACGACCTGAAGAAATGATGCTGCCTAAAGCCTCGGAGAGCGTAGCAGCTCGATCCGGCTTATTACCGATCTTTACACTCGCAAGCGAATCATCGGAGGTATCCACAAGAACTCCAAGCATTTCTGTTACGGTGGCAAAAGGTTTCTCTTTGGGCTTTGCCATCTGAAATTGCAGGAGATCCATCAGCGAGTGAACAACGTGATCAGTCGACTGAGAGAGTAAAGTGGGGGCTGCAGCAGGATAATCGTCAAAGTAGCAGCTGGTCAGGACAAGGAGTTCCCACAGAAGCCTTTGGAGGAAGAGCGAAACTCTGTTGAATTGCAGCACCGACGCGGATGCGCCGAACGGCAATGTTTTGCACACGAAGCCACAAGCGGAGCCTCCTGGCTTCTTCAGGACGAGAACCGCCTTCGCTTGCTCGGACGGCCTCAGAGGCAGCTGCTTGTACGCGGATTGAAGATCATAGGCTTTGGTCTGAGGCTTGGAGTGAGCCACGTCTTTCCAACAAGCGTGCACCGGACCACGAAGCCTAGTCCCATCGCTGAGCTCGAGATCAACGGAGCCTGTGTATTTGCAAGCTTTCATGATATACATGCAAACCCATGCGACCTCGTCCAAGGCTTTGAGGGAGAGGCGCTCAAAGCATTCAAAGCATGCGTTGACCCCATTCTCACTGAAGTCATCGATGGGCCGCCACTTGCCCTGCCACACAGCGAATCTTCTGCAAGGCATCCAGCCTAGAGGAAAAATCGAGTCCACTTCTGCGCGAGAAAGCGGGCCGTGTAGCCACTGCTTCCCACTAGGGTCTGCCTCCTCAAGAGTGATGTCCCAAAGGGGCTCTGAGTATTCTTGAGGCGGTGCACTGTCTACTCGCTTCCACGTTGCGTCCCTTTGAGCAGACGCTGCCATCCAGAACTCGGACTCAGAAGAAATGGCCGGCTTACAGTCCGGCTCAAAGACGCCCGTCCGGGGTTGGGACCCGGTAAGCTTAAACCCCTGAGTAAGATCATCCCATAAGGTGGTGTCAGGCCAATTAAGGGAGGAGGCGATCTTTTTCATCAAGAGGACACGCTTGTTGCCTAGCACGGCTCGCACGTCAGGGTGAAGGCTTGCACGAAGTTTTTCCTCTTCGGGGGCCAGCTCGGAAGCCCACTTTTGCCAAAGCTTTATGACATTAAGCCGGTGTCTCATGACTCCAACTGGGCCCTGCACGAGGATAAAGTGAAGCACCTTAAGCATGCCATCTGGGAGACCGCGACATGTGTCGAAGGGATGCTTGAGGAGCTTGGCTTCTTTCAAGAAAGTGCTCGGCTCACGATACACCCCGAATGTAAATGATGTGAGCGAGGTGTCTGGCAGATAGGGACCAGGATGCGGCGGGCAATTCGGGCCCCCTGGAACACTGGACCGCAGCAGCTTGGAGCCTAGCGGCACGGATAGCCACGAGGCCGTAAGGCATGACTTATTGTTCAAAGGTGGAACGCGCGGAGCGCGGACCGACACAGTGTAGGCGAACTCGGAGATCAACGGCGGGAACTTCGAAGCACGAGGTTGGGCCTGCGCGGCCGTGCGTGAAGCATGCAATGTCGAGACCGCCTGGGGTGCCAAGAAGAAGCCGCACGAGGCAGAGTGAGCTGCAACGTGTCCTACAAAGGCCTCACAAAAGGCTTTGGGGTAGCTACCATCCATTCTGAAACCTGAGCCTGGAGGCTTGCCGTGGCTTACACAACCGGGGCAAAGGCCGCCCATGGACTGGAAAACATCTCGGTTGGACACAAGGAGGGTCTTGCGATTGTAGAAGGCCCCGAAGAAGCATGCAGTCAGGGTGACTCGTGACAGAGAGCGTCGAAGCTGAGCAAAGGCTGGCAGTTCCCAAACGGCAGACCCGATGGGATGCTCTACAGAGACACCAACCGACGGAAATGATGCAAGGATTTTCTGAAGCAAAGTGGCAACGTTGTCGAAGATGGCGTTAGCCGCCTGCACGCGGGAGGCTCCGGGCTCTTGCAAGTTGGGCAGACCTCTGGGAGAGGCGAGGCTTCGAAAGACACGCCCAGTCGTACCAGTTGGCAGGGAGAAGTGTATCCAAGCGACAGCCCGATTCTGCAACACATTCTCTAGAAACTGAAGCGTGAGCGATTCTCGCAAGTCGAGGCGAAGCACATGTGCATACGCCCGGGGAACCTTATGTCCTGCATCAATGGGCAGAATGTCGAACCCTGCCTCTCGAGCAACACTTGAAAGGAGGGCTGAGCCCGCGCATACCTCGATGAACAAAGGCTTCTCGAGCAGGTGCGCTTTCCTGGGCTCCTCAGCCAAGCGGACAAGCGAAGGCGAATGAGGGACATGATTGGCAGGTGGCTCGGCACTCGCACGAGGAGGCGCCGCCATGAATCCATCCCCAGGGGATGCAATGCCTGTGTTTGGCTCTCGAACGACCTCTGGAGCCCCAGATGGGCCCGGACCCCTGTCGCGGGGGTCAGCACTGGCCGGCGGGCACAAATCGGAAGGGTTTGGGAGCCTAAACCCCAAAGAGGTTAGGGTCGCAAGCTTATCGCCATCAAGCTCAGTGAAGAACCTAATGCAGAAGGCAACCAAGACAACCCTTGAACCCTTCCACGGCAGAACGAAGTGCGTCAACTTGTCTGCACGGAACTTGACACAGTCGCCTACCCACTCCAGCGGGCCTCCGATTACTTCTTTGCCGTCTAGCACCTGCCTCTCGTCGCCATGCCCCTCAACCCAGAGCTCGCCCCCTGAGAAGGTGCTCAAAGGGAAAACGTGATTCTCGCAAGAGTAGTTTTGCAGATCTCTATGCGGCGGTGCAGAGTCCTCGAATAGCACAGTGACTGTGCTGAAAGTGCACTCGGGGGCTTTCGCACGCACGAAGGCGGTGAGAGCAAGCGTCGCAAAAGGATGCAGGCTGCACGTCTTGCGTATGTTCACGGCTCCGCCATGCACGCATGCACCCGTGCTAAAGGACTTGGCAGCTTCATCTCTGGGAGAGGGGCTCATAGGCAGCATGCGTGCCAAAGCGAGCACGTCGTCCTTAGAGGGCAATCCTTTCGCGAGGATCGCAGCGGCAAAGGCCTCAGGCGAGCCAACCTGTGGCCCAGCATGTTTCGTCATCAATTCACTTCTCAGTTGCTCGAACTCAATCAAAAACTCGCTGTTGGGGCATGAACAAGCACTCTGCTGGGCATGCGAAAAACTAATGTTCTGAACAAAGCTCGCACTCGAAATCTCACACAAAGAATCATGAGAAGCTCGCACACGTTTGTGGGAAGCTTCTGGGACTGCCTCTGAGGCAGTCGACAACGCCTTAGAGGCGAATTCTGTGCCCTCTTGTCGGGCGTCGGAAGCACGACAAGGATCGCTGGCACCCCGCTTGCAAGCCGTGACTAGTCACGACTGCTTTGCAGCTTTTGCCCTCTCGGGGCAATCAACCGCTGCATGGCTCTTGCCACACTTGGGCCAGGCGCATATGTGCAAGCCTTTGCTGCACCTCCCCCTGGTCACGACCTCTTGGCACGTTTTCAGGTTGAAGCCATAACAGATGCTTTCGCCGGCATTGGTATGCGAGCGACAACCTTCCAAGCCAGCGGGGAGTCTCGACGAAGCTCGAAACTTGCTCTTTCCTTTTCCCTTGCCCTTGCGCGTGGGCACCCAGTGATCGGTATTCACACCAGTGGGTGTGTAAGGACCTGGCCTGGTGTCCTTGATCTGTGGCGCATGCCCAGAAGGCCTGGGCATCGGCTGCAAGATATGCAGCACTTCTGGGGCCATCCATGTGTCTTCGAAAACGATGTCCAGTGGACGGCCACTGGGAGTGGCCTGAATGCCGGAGCGCGTTCTTTCAGCTAAGAGCTGAAACAACTTCCTGTCTGCAAGCTGTAGCTGATTAAAAGTAGTCTGGACATGTGTCTGAGGCACCTGGTCAAGGCGAGCACACAACAAACGCTCCACCCACTTTGCATGAAGACTGTAGTCAAGCAAGTTTCCCATTTCCATTGCGATTCCTCTCCGAGTAAGGGCGAACTGGAGCAACAACTCGGTGGTCGTCTCCGCCTTCGCGGATTCGCCCTTTTCCGTCTTCAGCCGGCCTGAAGCGTCCACTGACAAGACCGTCTCCTTTTTAGAGCTGCTGGTGACCTCCTGCTCTTTCGACGTGAGACGATCCCACTCAATGAAATGCAGACGATTCTGTTCGTAAAGTGCCACAAAGGCATCCACCAAGCTGTCGGACGGCTCCAACCGATTACGAATGTCCAACCCTGGCAGCCGCTTCGCGATCTTATTGTGCCGCTCTGCCCTTTCGGGCACACTGAGCCGCCGAGGAGCCGACTCGTCGGTCTGCTCGACCATCGCCTTCATCTGAGAAGGCCTCGTGAAAAAGCCGTCTGAATGCAGACTTCTGCCCCAGATCCGGATCGGCCCCCAGAGCATCCTTCAGTGCACGAATCAACTCCGCATCGTCCCCCGAGCCCGGGGTGTAAGAGCAGCAGAAAGCCACCTTAGCAAGGGTCGTGATCCCTTGAGCCTTGAGCTTGGCGATATCGGCCTCCGCCAATCCAACCTTCAGGCATCGTGATGCAAAGACGGGCTCGGATTCAGAAAAGGAAGCCATGGCGAGAAACTTCGGCGCTCCAGTTCAGGAGCGATCCGGCCCCTCACTTGAGGTGTGACTCGACGCGGGCGACGAGCTCAGCAATCTTACTTACATTGTTCTAATTCAACGCGATGATTGGGCTCACCGCAACTTGCAGGACACTACTCCACTCAAGCTTGGATTTGCAGGGCTAGCGGACTCTCTTGCACGGCACGCTTTCTCTGGACGTATCTCGCAGCGATAATCTATGCTCAAAAAGGCCACCTGCCGCTCCGCGGTCATGTCTTGCAAAAGTACTTAGGCCTGCAGCATAGAGCGGAAGCATTGCTTGCACCGAGGATACAAAACTCTTGGCATGTCAACCAAGTTCTCATATGCAGCCGTAATGGTGCGCCCACATTTGAAGGTAGTTCCACCTTCCTCTGCGAGCAAGTGCAAGACTCTAGATAAAGTGTGTCTATAAAACTGAGGGGACTCACCAAGCTTCGCCAAGTCGACTCTGCCATGCCAACGTCCCAGGGCCTCAGCTTCGGCAGCCTCGTCGAGCTCTCGGTCTGGGTGCTCCTCATCGGCACTGTCCTCCGAGCTAGACACCATGTCTCCTACTCCGCACTCATCTTCAGGGGCTGCTGCCGGCGCGGCAGCAGCATCGGCGTCCTGAAACTGCTCTCCTCTTGGAGCGTCCGGCCTGAAGGATCGCTGGCGAATCTTTCCAAGCACGGTGTCAAGGGACCTGAGTGGGGCCGCTTGGGAGTCTGACTCGTAAAGCAACTCCGTTCCAATGCCAGCACGAGGAGAAACATGGTATCCCAAAATGCACCTGACATCCCTAGGGATCCCCCATTTGCTGCACCAGCTCAATGTGGTCCGCTTACAAGAATGTGTCCCGATCGAAGTGGCCCTGAAGCCGGAAACCCCCAGGAGGCTCCTCAACCAATTGTTTGCTTGATCGCACGGGAGTGGGCTATCGCTCCAGGTTCCATGGCTCCGCGGAGCCGGGAGCAGAGGCCTGTTGTTCCCAGAAGTTATGCCTTCTGAGGCGAGGAGACCGAACCAGACTCGGCCCCAGCCGGAGCCCAGGATGCCCTCAGCATTTGCAGTGACAGGAAGGAGCCGCGTCTTCCTTTCCAGCGACATGCTGGATTTCGAGCGCGCAACCTCCGCCTCAAGGTACTTGCCACACGCAGAAAGCTTAAGTCGAGTGACACGCTGCCCATCGCTGTATCTAGCCCTGCCGAAAGTCAGAAACAAAAAGTAGCCAGCTGCAACGCGGTCAGGCTTACCTCTTTCTTCATCAAGCACTTGCTTTTCGAGCCTCTCAACCTCGGCAACAAGGAGCGGCTCCCTCTGGCACAGGGGTCTCTTGTCCATGTAAGCTTTAGCCGATAGGCCGACAATCCTGCCCGACATGAGCACTGCATCGGCCGACCCTAGCCCGACCACAAACTTCGCGAAGCCGACCGAAGACAGAAAACTCCTGAAGGCTGTGGGGGCCGCGGCTGCCGCGGTCGTCACGAAGTAGTGATGCACAACAGGCTCGGTGAGCGGCAAGGCAACAACACCTTGCTTCGTGGTCCACAAGATGAACCTAAGGAAGTGGTTGGCACGCGTATGCAAGGTACTGGATGCCTTGGTGGACATGCACTCTGCTATGCTATGCGAGAGAGAACCCGAGCCGAACCCCAAAGTCCTGGATTCAAAGTAGTTCCTGGCCACCATGAAGCACATGGGGGCCTTAAGCACTATCTGCAACCACTTGTTGATGGCAAGGTTGCGATCCTCGTCCTGGAGTTTCGGCCACGGCTTCTTGATGGCATCACCATATTTAATCATTTTTTCATGCAGCTGGTCAAGCTTAAGTTTCTTACACTCAGGCTCACCGGGCTGAGAACCCGCTGCGATAGCATTCTCTTCGGCAAAGATAGTCAAAGGCATCGGGCCTTTAGGGCGTAATGGCTTCGGTGCGGGCTCATGAGACAGCAACCCTGCCTCCCAAGGCTGCTTCCAAACTGATCTGTGCGAAGATGAGCATGACAGCAAATGCGACTCAAATGCATCTCCGGAAGCCATTGAGCCTATGCAGTAGCACTTGACCGAGGCTTCTCACCCCACTCACAAACCGAGGAAGAGGGGCTACTGATAAAAGAGACGCTCGAGGCGGCGGCGCGAAAGCACGGCCGACTGCAGGAGGTGTACCTGCACTCTGCGAGCCTCGCGATTGGCGCAGAACAGGGGCCCTGAAGATTCGAAGCGAAGGCTGAGAAGTAATAAGGAGCAAGACTGCGTAGCTCCTAGCAAAGCGGGGACGGAAGGATCCCGAATCTCGCTCTCCCAACCCCGCACTTCGAGGCCCTGCACCAATAGCAGCGTGACGAGGCGACGAGCAGGCACAGGCGGCTCGCCCCTCTCCATCCGACCCCCTCACCGAGGAGGGGTCTTGACGGCCTACAACGTCAGACAAGTTGAGGCCCGGGGGGCTGTTGCAGTTAAAGGCCCACAGCCCACAAAAATTTTCCTTTCGGCTCTCTGAGAGCCGCGATGCTGCACACACACGAATAGATTGTGCAACAAGCAGGAAAATTTTCCAATGGTTGAAACATGAAAACTTGCTCGTTGAAACAACTGTAAACATTTGATTGAAAAATTGCTGACTTAGCGAAAACAAAGAGTTTTCGCAAATTAACTTCAGCTATAAAGCTTTGTCGTACAAGTACGAAAGCTTGCGTCACTTCGCACAAACAAGTGTGTGCTACACGACAACGGAAATCTCACACGAAAGCCATGAATCCCTGGCTGGAGCGGAGCTGTTTTCCAACTGCTTCCGCTTCGGTGGCGTTATGTCTGCGCTTCGATCTTACAGATCGAAGTAATCGATCTTACAGATCGATGTAGATCTTCCGAACAGGAAGCATCAGAGTTCCTTCTGCTGGGAGGACCGACTGGTTCCCATCGAGGGTGGTCGCGTCCTCCCATCGCAGGCGAACGCCACTCGAAGGGTAAGTTAACTTATCATCGCAGTCAACCGATCGTGCAATCTGTGAATTTCGGGTATGTCGGAAAAACCCGTAGAGGAAGCAAAGTGAATGTCTCCTATGATCTTCGCAGCCCTACTAGTCAGAGCGTTCAGAGGTAAGTCGAGTTTAGTCCATGCCTCAGACTCTGGGACGTGCTCGAAGCGGCTGATCCCGTCGGAGATGTTGGCCTTGGTGGGAACACGTTCGAGTCGATGTGCAAGACTTCGTCGATTGTGCCAAGTTCAATGTGCCGCAATGAGGCAATTGAGAGGCTGATGTTTGCCAACGCCTTTGAGGAGGGCGTGTCGAGAAGCCTCGTTGTCGCAGCATTGGACGTAGAACCTATCAATAAGCCATGGCTCGAAGACCAGCGGTGCCAGGATGGCCACCCAAGCTTCGAGAAGGTAAATGAAAGCCTGGTCGGAGGAGAACTGTCGTACGAGTAGTGAGGGGAGACGACCCTGGAAGTAAGCGGCAGTTTGCACATCACCGTGGTGGAAGCAAACTGCAGCCCATCCGTTTTCGATGTCGGATGTCGATTTCGAGTCCCAATTCGGGATTTCGGTGTCCCCCGGCCTATAGATGTTGGCCCCGAGGCGGAAGTAAGCGTCCGTGTAGATGACGCTGTATTTGGGTCGGGTCATCTGCCGCGGTATCGTCATCGGGCGACAATGTTGTATGATGTCCTTGAGGGCAAGTAGTGAAGATCGTGTGGGTTTGTCGAGCGCATGTGAGTGGGAGTGGGCGCGCGCATACAGTGCTTTCAGAGCTGCTCGGCCCACTTTCCCAAACAATCGTCCGGTGAGGAAGTTGCACTTCCCAGCCATCTTCCTGGCTTGCTCGGGTGATAAGGACGAAGTCGTCAGGTGCGTGTCGATCTGCTTGCACATGTTCTCAACGCGTTTTGGACAAGGAGTAAGCACCAGGTTCTCGTCGTCGGAAGAGATGATGACGCCTTGGATCCGATGGGCTGTTTGAGGTGGTTGTCGTTTGCTGGGTTTCATCGAGATTTGTAAACACCCGTTGTACTCTTCGAATGACTCGAAGCTGCCCTTGGCCAAGTCGGAGTCCTCCATGGAGCCGTAGTCGTCGACGTAATGCATCGCTGGGGACAGAATCATGGTGCGACTGCAGGCGACCAAAATGTCGCCGAATCGGTTATACGACCATACGCTAGCGGCCGAACCAAAGAGGAGGACGTTGTGGCTCCATAGTGTCGGGCCGTCCGGCGTCAGTAGCATCACATAGGCTTCTCGAGGATCTCGGAGTGGGAGTTGTCGCTACGCTCCGTCGTGGTCGTGTCCCCAAACCGAGAGGGGCTTGAGTTGATCATGTCGAATCGTCGCAAGTCCCAGGGAGATGAAGTGATCGGGAGTGTGATGGTAGGGCTGATCATGCATCGTGCATGTCGCGTTGTGTCCACTTCGTCGCCAATCTTCGCCTCGTCTGACCTTGTTGCTGCCGTCGCTGCCCGTCTGTTCGATGCTGAAAGCCATGGCGATGTAGGGGTCGGAGTGTGGCAGCGGCAGTAAGGTACGGTGTCGTCCTTTGTGTGGGACGGTTGCGGCTCGAGGCCACCAATCCGGAGCCTGAAACGGTCCGTTCATCCGTCCCATGTCGACTTCTGCCAAGATCTCGTCCAGCATGAGTTCCCAGTGATCGTCAACGGAGTTCTTGTCGATCTTATCTGTGATGTACTGTCGGTTTTTCTCGCTGAACTCGTCGATGGGCGTAGGCTCGAGGTACTTCTGGTCTTGTCTCACGTGCCAGTTAATCCCAGGAGTCAACTTCCCCATGAGGGGGAAACCTTCGGAGAGCTCGCGGTAGATCAGCTCGGTTTGTGGATATTGTAACATCCTGAGCAGGTGAACGAGGACGGGTATCTGTGTGACCGAGTCTTTGTGCCGATATGCTCGTTGTACGTGTTCTGGAAGGGTGTCAAACCATGCCGTCGTGTGTTCCTCCATGTCGTCGACGAGCGCCCTAATGTCGTCGATGACGGCC